CAAAATTTCTTTAATTATTTGAGAGAGAGGGAGAGAGAGATGACATTTGCTGGTTTACTCCCCAAATTCTGGGGCCAGCTTTGGCTTATTCCAAAAGTTGGAAGCAGAAAATTTAATCTGGATCTTGCATGTGAATGGTGGGAAGTCAATTACTCGAGCCATGACCTACTTACCCCTGGGATGAACGTCTCCAGGAAGCTGGAATCAGGAGCCGCTGCGACACTGCTGCGCATGTGTCACGTAGGACAAATGCTCACCTAGGAAATGTTCTTGGTCATTCGTGGGCTTAGGTGCCAGCGCAAAGCAGAATCACTTTTAAAAAAAAAAAGATTTATTTATTTTTATTGGAAAGGTAGATACAGAGAGAAGGAGAGAGAGAGAGAGATCTTCCCTCCACTGGTTTACTCCTCCAAGTGGCCACAATGGCTGGAAATGAGCAGATCAGAAGCCAGGAGTGAGGAGCTTCTTCTGGGTCTCCCACGCGGGTGCAGCGTCCCAAGGCTGTGGACCATCCTCAACTGCTTTCCCAGGCCACAGGCAGGGAGCTGGATGGGAAGTGGAACAGCTAGGATATGAACCAGCACCCGCATGGGATTCCAGTGCATGCAAAGTGAGGATTCAGGCACTGAGCCATTACTCTTGGCCCTAGCAAAATTAACTTATATAAAGATTGTTGAATTGGCCTCAAAAGAATGAAAATATTAGGGCTGTGCAACTTAAAGAGTTTTATGTAAGTTTTGCAGATGTCAGATGGGGGTCAAAACAGGAGATCACTTTTTTCGTTCCTGGTTTTGAAAAAGGAAAAAAAGAAGTTAAAGGTGTACAATCTCACAAAATGTAGAAGTTAGAAAAAGAAAAAAAAAGTTCTCTTTTCCTTGAAAATACCAGGTCAGAGTTGTAGCTGAGCTGGAATTGCTTCCATCATAATTCAAAGCTAGAGTTCCAAGAGATCAACAGGAAACACGCAGCCTTCATAATGAGCCGATGAAGTGTGAGAACGAGGTTGGTTGGGTGGAAAGAAGCAAAGAAAGAAAAGACAGTTTTGTAGACCCGCAGCTGGGACGCAGTGCCGAAAGGTCACACTAACATTGTGTAATGTTATTGCACCGGGCCAGCAGGGAGGAACTCCTCTAACATGCGACATTACGGGGAGGAAGCTGAAGAGTCCGTGGACGCCTTCCAAGTGAGGGTCGCCTGGGATCTTCCCCACCCCTGTACGCCCACCAGGTGTAACAGGAGCAAGCGGAAGCTGGGAAGAGCGTTTCTGCAGACCCCTAGGAAGAAACACTGAAAGAATTAAATTCTAGCAGTCTCAGGGTGGGCTGGGTGGGCAGAGAGGGACAGTGCAAGATAGGCAAGCGACATTCTGCCCCTAGAGGATTGGAAATGCAAGGCAAGCAGAGGCCCTGGCAGTGCTGGGCAGGGGTGCACACCGCTGGCCTTGGGGAAGGTTCTGGTTTTCCCGCCTTCATCTTTCACTGAGCAGGCACCTCTCGGTAGATACTGCGCTAAGCCCTAAGCATTTCAGAATGCATATAGTTGCGTTTTAAATGTCCAGGTGTCCATTCTGTCCACCCTGGTAGAGTGGGCAGGATGAGAACCATCCGAGGTGAGGGTGGGAGGGAGGACCACCATGTTGTGGTGGGAGCAGTGGCAGGTGTGCACTCGGTCTGGCAGTGGGATGTTTCAGAGAGGGCTGGCATGTGGTCCGGCCCACAGCAGGTGCAGTGGCAGATCTGGTGGTGGCTGGGGCCGCAGGGCTACAAGATGCGGCAGATTGGCATCTCAGAGATAAGGCAAAGAAGCACACACAGAGGTTTGAAAGAATAAGCCATGTTTGGAATGCGGCTGCTGTTTCACGCCACTGAAAACAAAGTGCCAGCTTCCTCTAGGCTGTGCTTACTGTCCCTGGAAGCTGACTGACAAATCCCGAGTCAGCCGACCATGGAGGGATAAAGAAAAGAGAACCAGAGGTACCAATGATGTCATTTGCCAAACACAGTCGATAAATCCACCTGAGCCCTTACAGCATGGCCAGATTTAATTCTCACAGTGACTCTCTGGCCTGGGCGCTATCATCACTCCCATTCAGAAACAAAACCCCTCAGACAGGGGGAGCCATCACAGGAGGTTGGATAAGTCAGCCAGCTACGGCCCCAGCCTTGACCCAGGGCAGGCTGATGGGAAGACCTCACCTCTTGGCCAGAATGTTATCCTGGGCGAATGCCCAGTCCTCATCCCACAGGCTTGGGGACTTTCTCTCCTCGTTGGAAAAGTGGCACCTCCAGGGAGGTGACACATACTGTCAGCGTCATGGGAGTGAAATGCCCACATCTGTCAGCACGCAGGAAGGGCTTAGTGGACACAGCAATGCTGGCAGCCAGCCCTTCCGGAGGCACCTCACTTGGCCAGGGTCATGCCATCGCCCGGGGTGGACCATAGCCAGTGAGAGCGATTCAGGAGCTATGGGAGGTTCAGCTGGCAGGCCCAATGAGACTGAAGCACCTCAGCGGCACCAGGGTCTTCCTGGGGTCTGGCCGGCTGCCCCATCGGTGCCTGGCGCCCCGTGGGCTTCCGGCCGCTCCCTCCACATGGGCCCCAGAGGCATTCCTTCCTGCACATCCTGCTGTCTCGCAGCCTGCCGCCCTGGGAACCCAGTCTGTGTCCTCAATCCCAGCAGCCAGACTCACTGCATCTCCTTCCTAATTTCCTTTCACATCAGTTTCCGTTGATTTCTCATCTTCCAGATAAATAGCTAAGAACAAAATGTTATTAAATTCCCAGAGCTAGATTCTACAAAGAATCAACTTCCTCTTTGTGTTATTGTTAATTTTTTTAAGAGCAGTTTGAGTTTCCCAAGAAAATGAGCAGAAGGTTTGCAACGTTTTCTTGTCCCACGGCCTATTAACATCAGCTTTGTTTGATAACAGGTGTAGATAGTGGCAGTTAGATCCCTAAAGACAAAACTCATTAAAATTGTCTACTGAACTTTGTAAATGCTACTTTCCCCCTAAACTTAGTCATTTGAAAGAAAAGAGAACTGGCATGGAGACGGGAGTGGAAGGCAGAAACAAACATGCTCTCGGCTGGTCTGCTCCGCACGGTTGGCCGGGCTGCAGCCTGGACCCCAGAACTGAGTCTGGGTTTCCACAGGCGGGAAGGGCCGGACCCTGCGCTCTTAACCCACCCTGGGCAGCCTGCGAGGTTCCGGGGCAGCAGGAAGCCGGATCGGAAGCAGAGCGTCAACTTGATTCTAAACAGGCTCTCTTGTGGCCTGCGTCACAGTGAGCCATCTCTAAAACAGGCACAATAATGAGGTGGATTTAAACATACAATGCATCCTAACTCCAGGCAAGGATCCCGAAAACGGCACACATTTTATACAGAGTTGGCACAAGACCCTGGGAATGTTGGTTTCCTATGGTTGCTATAACTCATTGCATAAATACAATAACAGAAACTTATTCTCACACTTCCAGAGGCTGAAAGACCAAGCTCCACTTTACTGGATCAACGTCGAAGTTGCGGGGCTTGGCACTGTGGCACTGTTGGCACCAAGGGGCTTGCTGCCACCCTGGCACCCCATCTCAGAATGCTGCTTTACGTCTCCCAGCCGCTCTGCTTTCCATGCGGCTCCTTGCTCAGGTGCCTGAAGAAGGAGCAGAAGGCTGCCCAAGGACTTGGGTCGCCGGCAGCCCTGTGAGAGACTCCGGATGGAACTGCGGCCTCCAGGCTTCAGCCTGGGCCGGCCTCGGTCCTGCAATCATCTGAAGAATGAGCCACAGATGGAAACTGCCCTCTTCTGCTACTGTCCCTTCAGACCGAGAAACCAACCAACAGAATCAAGCCTCTTGGGAGAATCCTTTCCGTCCCTCCGCTCTTGTGATGGCTGCTGCCATTCCTGAATGCATGGCCGTCTCACCACAGACTGCTGGATTCCGCTGGCTCCTCAGGTGTCAGCATAGAACCTCTCTCTGTCTTTTTCTTCAGGGTCAAAGTCATCGATGAGAACTCGGAGCCATCGCCCAGTTCAGGAGCCGATCCTTAAGGCATTCACGGGGGCCAGGCCCCGGGCTCCTGTTACCGTGGAGGAGGCACACCGCACACGGTGACACAGCTCCTGTGTTGTCTTCATAAGGTATACCTTTGCTTCTCAGTCACTTCCAGTTTGTTGTTGAAAACCACATGCCATAAATATGTATTTAATTATATCTATACATATTTATATATTAATTGTATTTAATATATTTATATGTAATATAATTATATATAACTTGAAAGGCAGAGAGAAACAGACCCAGCTCTTCCATCTGCTGGTGCTTGGCTTGGGCCCAATCAGGGTCTGCTGTGCGGGTGGCAAGTACCCAGGTCATGAGTCCATCTTGCAGCCTCCCTCTGGCTGCAGAAGCAGAAAGCTGGATTAGAAGTGGAGGCAGCAGGGCTCAGTGTGTCACTGGGCTATGGACATGTGGGCCTGGCTAGCAGCGACATGATCAGACAACAAATGTCCTCCCCTCGGGAACCTTTCTTTGCTTCTCCTGGAAGAGGCCCTGGCGGCCAGAGGCGGTTGATCAAGGCTGACGCCGGACGCTGTCCCCAAGGCTTCTTTCCAAGGCTTGAACTTATTTGCTGGTGCATTTTAGCACCGATTCCCCAGAAACGTGTCCCAGACACCTGTGATTCAGGAGATGAAGGGGACATTTGGAAATGTAATCCCCCTTTCCGCCACCCCCGCCCCAAGTGCCCTTAGAGCCAAGCGCTGGAGACACCTAGTACTTCCACGAAGTCCGCACAGGGATTGTCCTTCTCACCTGAGGAATGCATTATGGTATAATGACAACTTTTAACAGGGTGGAGAAAAGAAACAAAGTAGAACAACCCTGAGAACTGAATGCTTGTGTGAGTACAGCGTTCGCTGGACCACTCTCCTACTGGCGGACTTCCAGTGCCGACTGAGGCAGAGGGTGAGGACGGGCGGACGCTGCAGCCTCGCGGGGTCACTAGCTCGCCGCCTCGGGGATCGGAGGGGCCGCCCGCACTGCTGCCTCGGCGGGAGCCAGGGCTTTCCGCGGGGAGAGGGGCGGTGCGGCTGGAGGGCGGGGGTGTCGGTGGAGAACTTGTGCGTTGGATGGGCTGGGTTGTGGCTTGGCGCACCGCCTCCGCGTGCGACAGCGGCTCTCGGGGAAGGGGAGGGGAGACGCAGGTATATTTAATCCTGGCCTGAGACCGGGGTACTGGGTCGTTTCCAGCCACCCGAGGAGCTGGCTCTTCCTAGGGGCCTGCGAACTCAGCGCCCGTGGCTGCCCAGGTGGGGTGGACCGTGGCGCGGCGATCCGACGCATGCACAATTGGGGTGGGAATGTGTGGGTTCCTCTGGGGGTGATGGGGCGCAGAGTTGGGCTGAGCCCCCGGCGCTCCACCGACAGGATCCAGCTCGGCGGGCGGGCGGGCTCAGCGACGGAGCTGGAACGTAAGGTGATGGGGACGACCGAAGACGCGCGCCCTGAAAGCCGCCGGAGCCCGCAGCTGCAGCCCGGGGCCGGGGCGTCATTCCTGCGCGCGGCAGCGAGCGGCGCTGAGCGCCCGCCGGCCGTGCACGCCGAGCCGGGAGGAGCCCCGCGCGCCCGGCGCCGCCCCCCGCGCCGCCCCCCGTGCGCCCCGCGCCGCCCCCCGCGCCCGGCGCCGCCTCTCTCCCCGCCTCCCCGGCTCCGGCCCAATCCGCTCCCCGGGCCCGCGGAGCCGGGTAGCTCGTCCGCTCGGCCGAGGTGGAGCGCGAGCCCAGAGAGCCGGCGCCCGGCGACCGGGGACCCGCGGCCTTCCCTGTGCCCCTCGGCTCTGCCCCGGCCGCCACCTCCTGGCACCGAGGCGTGACGCGCGGGCCGAGCCCCCCGAGGGGCGGCTGGCCGGGAGAGCGCGGGCCGCCGGGCGCAGAGCGAGCCGAGGCCCCGGCGGGCGGCTCGGGCGAGGGAAGTGCGCGGCCGGAGCTCAGTTTCCCCCGCGGGCTGCGGCTGCCCGGGCTGAGAGGCGCGGGGCGGCGGGCGCTGCGTGGCCATGGCGAGGCGGCCCGGCGCCGGGGACGGCCGCAGCCCTGCTCCGCGCCCCCGCACCGCTGCCTAGACACCTGAGGCCACCGACGCCGAGCGGGGGAGGGGAAGGTAAGCGCGGCTCGCCCGCCGCCCGCCCGGGCGCTCCCGCACCTTCCCGGCCCCCGGGCCTCCCCTTCTTTGGTTTGGGAGCAGCCAGACGTGGCCCGGAGTCAGACCTCCTCCCTGAGAAAGGATGCCCGGGAGCCGAGTTCGGGTGGCTCCGTGGCCCTCCGGCTTCTCGCCGGCTCCAGGGGGAAGGGAACAATGGGGCTTTGAAAGTCCGTGTGGCCGGCGCTCCCCTTTGCGCCCAGGGGGAGTGAGCCCCACAGGAAGCGGCCGTCGGGGCCAGGTTGCTGGAATGTGTACGGTGGGGTCCCGGCCGCAGTGCGCGCGCACGCCTTTCGGGGTGATCTTTGTCTCCTCTCTACTCGGCGGACTTGGTGGCCCCTCCGCACCCTGCCGAGCTAAGGCAGGGCTCTGAAGGCTCTGCGTCTTTTCTCCCAAGCCGGAGGCAGAGCGGTAGCACCAGAGCCCCAACTGCCAGCTTTTCCTTGCAGAGTCGGGGGCGGGGATGTCTTGGCAAGGCAAGGGGTGGGGGGGCCTTCCAGGGTAACCCCAAGTGCCGCAGTTCCTGCAGAGGACGCCCCCTTTCTCAGTAAAAGCCGGGTGCGCGCTGCCTGGGGTTGATGGGTGCCGCCCGACCTTGCCCTGCCGCGGAACAGTTCACTTCAACTCCCGGGGTAAGGTTAGGAAAACAGTCTTTGATCCGGTTCCCCTTTCATCTGCGCTTGGGGCTGAGGATGGAGCACCCCGTGGTGCTCGCTGGCTGCCTGCACTTCCCTCCAGCCGTGGTGCGCCCTGACAGCGTGCTGGGACGCCGGGTTCACCTGCTCGGCGTGGGTTCAGTTCCTGTGGACCTAGTGGGCTTTCCGGTGCCAAGTTAGACACCAGGGGAGGGGCAGAGCACCTGAGCTGAAGCACACCTGAGCTCCCTGTGGGCAAGCGCGCGCGCTCTCTCTCTTTCTCTTTCTCTCTTTGCTTGCCTAGGGTGGAGATAGGAACGTGACCCTGGAAAGCGTCCTGTTCTCTGAGGAATTGGTCTGGCGAGCACAGCTCCAAGGGCGTATAGACCTTTGATTCTGACTTTGCCTTTCTGGCCACTCAGGAGGCTTCCTGAACATTGGGGTGCACCGTGCGGGGCATTCTCCTTTCTGCTGAGTGAACCCCTCGCGGTCGTTGAATCTGATAGACTGAGAAAACCTCTGTTTTACTTCATCAGCCTGTGATGCGAGTTAAGCCCCAATTGGCATGTGTGTGTGTGTGTGTGTGTGTGTGTATGAGAGAGAGAGAGAGAGAGAGAGAGAGAGAGAGACAGGGAAGTAGAATTCTCACTGCCTGCTTGCCTGAATTCCTGTGTCAAGGTTGGTTGTTTGAGGAAGGTCTCTTGATCCGGCCTGTAACTTGCAAGTTTTCAAACAGGTCAGAGGTCACAACAGGACAACAGAACGGGCAGTTCCTGCTAGGCAACACCAAGCAGACCTGGTCAAGCCTCAGGCCTGCCCTCCTACAGCTCCCTGAAATGCAAACAGCACAGCCTGGGGGAGTGAGCTTTCCCACTTCCCTCCCTCCTTCCCTTCCCTCCTCCCTTCCCTCTTTTCCTCCTTCCTTTTTATTTGAAAGGCAGTTAGAGAAACAGAGGGGACAGGGAGGAAGACGTCTTCCATCTGCTGCCTCACTCTGCAGTTGGTCACAGTGGCCGGGGCTGGGCCAGACCAGAGCCAGGACCCCTGGAGCTGGCATGCTGGGTCACTCAGCTCCGCTTTCCCAGGTGCCTGGGCAGGGAGCTGTAAGCCGAGTTGGCAGGACCTGAACCAGCATGCCTCTGGAGTCAGTGCCCCAGGCATCAGTTTAGCCAGCTGTGCCACAGCGCTGGCCATGTGGGCCGTTTCTGTACTTGGGAGTGTATATGTGTTAGCTGTGTGTCTCCGTACAAGTTTCTGAAGGTTAGAAAAGTGACTCACATTTCAGAAAGAGAAAACTTCATACTCACTGTCTCGCGGTGGTTGTGGTATCACCTTTGGGATGCAGTGTGTGAATATGTGATTGTGAATGGTTCTGAAGTATATGCGAGTGTCCCGTCCTCCTTGCATCCAGTGAGCACGTGTTATTTACCTGTTGTGGAGCCATCTTGACACCTGCTGGGGCAGTGCGCCTGCTGATTGGGAGTTGGATGGCTTGTGTGTGTGGTGGTTTCTGTAAGATGCAGCCTCTGCTTCTGGGGAAGTGAGTGTGGCCAGGGAGACAAGGAAATGGACAGTAAGGTTCAAGGATCTGTGCACATCAGGGGCTTTAATAAGGCGTAGGAGGAACATCACGCTGGTGGATTTAAAGTAAGGGAAGTGTTTTGTGAAGAATAAGTTTATTAGATCCAACAAAATAGCGGAGATGAGAGACTGGTTTAAAAGGTGCAGCCTGCAGGCCTGAGGTCAGCCTTGGGTGTCTAACAAAGGCTGTGCGAGTGCTGCCTTTGTTAGTGAGGCCAGGCCTTTCTTGCTCACATTGTTTCTTTCGCTGTGGGATGAGCTTTAAAATGCTTTATAGAATCTTTGGAGGGTCAAATTTGAGATGTGTATGCTAGATGCAATATAAATTAGCTGGTATCAAAAGGAACTTTGAAAGTGTGTGTGTGTGTGTGTGTGTGTGTGTGTGTGTGTGTGTGAGAAAGCTCTAAATGGAGATTAATCCCAGCTTGATCCCGCTGGTCTCAGCCATGCATTTCCATTTGATTGGCTCTTTTCCAGAATGTTCAGAACACCAGAGTGAGCTTCTGAGCTGGTGAGCTGTTGTGGTGTGGTGTGCCTTCTCCGTGCAGGCCTGTTCCCATCCCGCCCCAGGAGACTTGATTGCATTTGGGCTGTGAGCATTCATTAGCGGCTGGGCTGTCTGAGGGCGGTGCAGGAGGCGAGGAGGGCTCGCCGGGGATTGCACGGTGACATCTGTGGTCTTCTGCCACCCCCTTGCCCAGCTGGCTCCTCTCCTCTGTCCCAGAAGATGACTGTGGGAAAGGAAAAAAAAATAGGCTCTGTTTCTGCATTTTTGAGACCATGAAAATCTGATCTTACTAGGGTTCTGCGTTTGTGAAAGGGTGTAATTTTTGACTAGACTGCTAAAGAAAGGCTAATCACACCAGAGCAACAGCTGCTATCTAGGTGTAATTTGAGTCTGGAAGCAGTGCTTGATTTAATTCTCGACTTGAAATGGACTTAAGCTCCTTGGACATTTTAATAAATTGCCTTTGATATAAATCCAAACTGAGATATTTGGAACCATCAAGTTAAAAATGACTTTTTTTTTTTTTTTGAGGGGAAGGATTGATAGGAATGTGAATCCCTTTTCTGGACCATGCTTACCGGCAACAATGCTTCACAAAGTTTGTAGGAAAAAAGAAAAGATAAATTGACCTTGCAATTTTTTTTTTAATCTTGGCATACTGTTTTTTTTTTTTTGTATTATATATTTTCCATGAACTTTTGGAAGATTCCCTGGAATGCTGAATCTTAGCATGTAGTTCTGAGAGATTTAAGAATTTTGCTTGCTTGCTTTTTATTTATCTGAAAGGCAGAGCAACAGCACGCATGCACAACCCTCACATTGACTACTTTACTTCTCCAAGGTTTGCAGGAGTCAGGGCTGGGCCTGGAGAAAGCGGGGAACCCACCGCACCGTCCTGCTCTCCCGGGTGGGGAGCACACTCCTGAGCTCTGAGCCGCCCAGGGTGCATTGGCAGCAAGCCAGATACACAAGCAGGGACTTACCCCAAGGTGCTTAAAAGTACTGAACTAAGGGTATCGGGCCCAGAGAGGTCAACTGGGCAAGCAAGGGCACCCCAAGGTACTTAAAAGTACTGAACTAAGGGTATCGGGCACAGAGAGGTCAACTGGGCAAGCAAGGGCACCCCAAGGTGCTTAAAAGTACTGAACTAAGGGCATCGGGCCCAGAGAGGTCAACTGGGCAAGCAAGGGCACCCCAAGGTGCTTAAAAGTACTGAACTAAGGGCATCGGGCCCAGAGAGGTCAACTGGGCAAGCAAGGGCACCCCAAGGTGCTTAAAAGTACTGAACTAAGGGCATCGGGCCCAGAGAGGTCAACTGGGCAAGCAAGGGTACCCCAAGGTGCTTAAAAGTACTGAACTAAGGGCATCGGGCCCAGAGAGGTCAACTGGGCAAGCAAGGGCACCCCAAGGTGCTTAAAAGTACTGAACTAAGGGCATCGGGCCCAGAGAGGTCAACTGGGCAAGCAAGGGCACCCCAAGGTGCTTAAAAGTACTGAACTAAGGGCATCGGGCCCAGAGAGGTCAACTGGGCAAGCAAGGGCACACAGGGAATGAATGACCACACCTTCTGTTTCCAAGGAGCACTAGTCCCTCCTCCTGTTGTCATTTCTTACTGTCTGGCTCTGTTAGCAGTTTTATCACTTTCATGTTTGAGTGGTAAATCAGTTTTCTTTTGGGCTTAGAAACCCATGGTGCCCAAGTTTATGGCAGACACTGTATGGTTCTCACTTCTTAGTACTTTCATGTGATAGGGTGACTGTGCTAGGACTTGTGGAGAAGTTCTGTTTGAAAAGGAACCAAGTGTAAGACAGGTTGACTTGGATTTTCCACAAACAGGATGAAAATATAAAATGCTGTAGATGTGTGTGTTGCTTTTCGGAGAGGCAAGTTTCTCACACTGTGATTCAGATGTGTACATGTGCATCACAAGGACAGCCTGGTCACGTTTGCTTTTTCTGAATGCGCTGTGGGAAGGCTAATGCTGGCTGTCCAGTGTTTAACAGGCACTTTATCTCAGTGAGCTGGTGCTGGCCATTGTGGAGAGAAGCGCAAGGTGTAAGTTCTGCATGAAAATGTCTCTGCAGAAACAGTGAAATGGGCTAGGATGCCGTGTATATCTTCAAACACAGAATTGC